CTTTTCAGTTCCATAAGATCCCAGAACACTCGAGTTTGGACTAGCGATAATACTCAGCAAAAAGGAAAAGGAAACAGTGAGAAACCTAAGGCTTGGAATCCTAAACTTCTTAATGTTTGTGTGTGTGTTTTTCTCAGTGTTAGGTGATTGGTTCGTAATTTTTGTTGTGTTTAAGTGTTGTTAAGTAAAAACATTAAGGACTTCTATTTATAGTGGCCATTGAAGGACTTAGGGTTTCAGAGGGTTCAAAATTGGATAGTGGAAGATGACGATTACCGGATGATGTGGGCATGATAGAGTGAAATTGAAAGAGAACTGTCACGACCCCAGTTCACCCTCCACGAACATGTCGTGATGGCACCTAGTTCCTACAACTAGGTAAGCCTATCAATGCGGAAATAACAACTTAACTTGCGAAATGGTTGAATAAAGCTAAACATATTAAAATAATAACTGCATATAAGGTCGCTTGGCCTATACAACTCAAAATAATGCGGAAGTCTACAACTAAATTCCAAAACCCAGAAACTCACGGGAACCACAGGCTAAGAGAAACATAGTACGCTGCTCTAACTCCACAATATCTAAACAACTGAGAGAAAAAGGAATAAACTAAATACTAAAGTCGGAACAGAATAGAGACTCCTGGTCTGCGGACGCGGCAGATATACCTCGAAGTCTCCGTGTATCTTCACGCCTCAAGGATAGTGCGCCTGAGAGGAAGTACCTGGATCTGCACATGAAAAACATGCGCAGAAAGGGCATGAGTACACCACAGCGGTACTCAGTAAGTGCCAAGCCTAATCTTGGTCGGGTAGTGACGAGGAAGGTCAGGGCCCTACTGAGATAACATAATAAATAATGAGATAACAGAAACAGTTTAAATAAAGTCTACAGCGAGAATCTAAACTAGGTAAATAAGGATGAACAGTAATAGAAAACAAAGGTAACAATACACGGAAAACTGCTCTCAACAAGGAATGGTAGCCGGGGGATCTCTTGGTAACCCGGGGATCTCTTGGTATCCTCATCATCAACACTGGGGATCTCTCGGTATCCCGAGGATCTCTTGGTATCCTCAACATCAACATTGGGGATCTCTCGGTATCCCGAGGATCTCTTGGTATCCTCAATAAGTAAGTCAGGGATCTCTTGGTATCCCAATATATATATATAGAAACACATGTGCTAGGGATCTCTTGGTATCCCGCACCCTCAGTCCAGAATATCTCAAGTACAGGGGGATCTCCCGGGAAGCCGTCCCATAGTCCCAAATTAAACACACAACAACAACGATTCATAAATCTCGGAACAATGCTAAAAATCAGGACAAGAAGTATTAAATTATAGCCTAACATGCTTCACAGAGTACAAATAGCACAGTTAAAACAAATAAGCAAGTAAGCCAGCTAAACATAAGTTTCTAAGCTAGCACAGGTACAAACTTACAGTTAAAATGAACAAGTAAATAAGAAATCTCAATTTAAATACTTCAAGTAAAAACGGATTTACAACAATTCGCTCAAGTACGCGCTCGTCACCTCACGTGCGAGGCATTCAAATATTCAAGATCATATCCTAAGGGAAAAGGGTCCCCCACACAAAGTTAGACAAGCCACTTACCTCGAACCGGCTCAATATCAACTAGAAACCACGCTCTTGCCACGAGTATCCGACTCCAAATGGCCCAAATCTATTCAATTCAATACACATTGTAAATAACATCGCAAACACCTGGTTTTGCTATTAAATTCAAAGCTACGGCGTGAAATTAGGTGAAATGACCAAATGCCCTTCAGGCCAACGCCTCGGAATCTAATAATTTTCACATTTTTAGAACCCTCGTACCCTCACGAGTCTAACCATATAAAAATCTCCCAAATCGGAGGTCAAATGCCCACTCAAAACTCAATAGTTTAGGTAATGAAGTTTTACCCCAAATTATCCAATTTTTGATCCTAAATTCGAATTCCGATGATGTATTTAACTATATAATGATGAAATATAACAAGAAGGGACCAAAGAAACATTACCCAGTGATCTTCACTTCAAAACCCACTCAAAATCGCCTTAAACCGAGCTCTCAATTNATCGAAAAACGCGAATAACGGGAGAGAGAAACAGTAGAGCACTAGCGTATACTTGGAGAGAAAGTAGTCTTTTAACAAAAAAAGGTAAAATAGTCTTTCCAAATGGCTTTTAACAAAAAAGTAGGTATGGGTGCAAACAGAAAGACAAAGCGGGTACAGGTTAAAAGGGGGCGCCCAAATAGGGCGCCCCGTGCAATTTAGAGTGAGATTAATGTGGCTTGTTTTCCTTCATTTATGTATTCATATTATGTTTTGAACATTTCACATATATACTTATCAAATGGTGCATTGAAGTGGGTAATTGAACATCTAATAAACGTCAAGGACTGAACTGGAAGGCCCCAAAAACTTAATGCTCCAAACTTGAAATTCTTTCAGATCTACTGTACAACTGTTGCACTTCATTTTTAATTAAATTATATGTGGACCAATCAACTTTAAGTAACTTTGTAATTAAGTATAGGATGGTAGTATTATAAAAGACACGAAGCTAGTGGTCCCCTATTTCATTTCATTTACGATATATGATGTGTGGCTATAATTCCATAGTTTCGTATATTATTTGTCTTGTATTTTACATGCTTTAATGATAAATTACACTTTATTTGCTCGTAATGGAGTCTATTTTATATGTAGGTGAATTGAAGATGAAAGTAGAGCAAAAGAGATACTTAAACGTTGAAGCGTGCTCGAGAATAGTGAAAAGGAGAAAGTTGGCGACGCCAGGCCTTAAGCAGGCTTTATACCTGGCGAGGCCAGGCAAAGACCAGCTTAACGAGGCGTTAGCCTGGCGAGGCCAGGCAAAGGCCAGCTTAACCAGGCGTTAGACCTGGCGAGGCCAGGCAAAGGCCAGCTCCACCAGGCGTTATGCCTGGCGACGCCAGGCCTGGGGCGAGATCCATTCCAAGTTTTGAAGATTTATTTTGTCTACTGGGTTGACTAGGGTAGGTCTTTTCCTACACATATAAATAGACCTAAAAACGCCACTTTTGACATAATTTAGACCTAAGGAGGCTAGAGAGACCGGGGATTCGACCTAAGGAGGCAAGAACACACTAGGAGCAAGGTGGAGAATTCTTCTACAAGTTTTTCACTTCCTTCTTCCTATTTTTCATTATTGGTTATGAATTCTAGCATTGTAGTATTGCATACTATTATGAATAACTAATTTATTATCTAGGGTTTTTATGGAACCTATTGGAGGATGATTTTCCTATTACGTTAATATAGTTTTACCGTAGTATGTTCTCTATTTGTTCAACTACGTTATTATTGTGGTTGGTTGAAGAGCTCTCAATTGACTATGCATATTTAGTGTGTATTACTCGGGAGAGAGTGCATATTTAGGTAGTTGTTGAACAACATCACTCCTAACGTATATTTTTTGTTTTAACTGAATCCACTAGGCATAGTGCCTAGGGCTGATTTTCATATAACATAAACAAAGTACAACAGAGGAGGGGGGCATAAACCTGACCTCCAATAATATAATACATGAACATGGGCATTTGATCATCAGTACTTGATGATTAAATGACATCTGTAATCTATGGTAAGTTAGACCTATCTTGATGTCCCAATTGACCAAAAAATAATAGTCATTTGGGCTAACAAAAACATGATGAAGTAAACCTAGGTCAACTATACACAATACTATAAGTCCTATACCTACTAAAAAGATGACCTGGAAAATTAGTTTCCATATACTACAGACTCTACACATATAATAATGCAAGAGGTACCTAGGGAGATTGACAATAAACATAAGGTAGTGGGGGATGCTATCTTCAACTTTGCTTTGACAATGAAGCTCAAGAAAGCTGAGTTGAAGATAGTTGACAAAAGAAGCCCAAGGTGCTGGACTTGTGCACTGTCTAACATTCTTGACAGGATAGAGTGAGTACTGAGGTAACTTTATTCCCTTCAGAGTTGGAGGCTGAAGTACTGCTGTGACTGCAATTATAAGAAACTGTGCTAGGTCTGGGCCCCTAGAACTGATCAGCATCAACTGAGTACAAACTTTGGCTTGCTTGACAGGTTGCATATGCTGAACAAGTGTGAAGCAGGAGTTGAGATGCAGTTGCACTTGTGTGTTGTTATTTTGCTGCTGCTGTGTTTGTTGAATTTTTTCAGAAACATCTTTTTGGAAGTTGCAGTAGTAAGATTGACTGAGGATCTGGGCTTTGCTTGTGAGAGGAGAGACTTGGAACATTTGGTACATTTTAATCAGAATGAGCATCTGAGATGCTAATACTAGTGATTGAAAATGCACCATATGAACAAGTCTGCTCATTGTACCTGCAATAAACAACAGACATGTTAGTGAAAGGGAGCTCAATCTCCAGGTTCTTATGGATTCTGGAGATGAGTCTGGGGTTAGGGGAGCAATTGGGATCCCTGGTCTAGACACTGATTGCAGGTTCTTGTGTGTACCGCAATCAGTTGTATAGATGCTCATGTTGAGGAGAAGACCTTGAGTGGGAGATCCATGACTGCAGGAATTGTAGTCAGTTGTGATCTCCAATTGTTGAGAGCTCATTGGTAGCAGGTTCTTGTGTAGACTGTACCATGGAGTTGAGGATTCTCTCTGTCTGCAAGAGTGTGCTAATGGGAGGTAAGCACAGGTGTTTATGTGTGAGGTGTATTGCTGTTGATCAGCACAGGTGCTTTGGGAAAGATTGCACCATATGGAGAGGAGTGTTGGGTGCATCAGCTCACAGGTTAAGTGGTGACCTTGAATGTAGGTTCTTGTGCTTGCTGCATTCTTTGGCATTGCTGCTTCTTTTGTTGGTGAAGTGTGCAGAAGTTAAAACTTGAATTGAACTGGAGCTGTTGCAGACAATAGCAGTTGCTGCACATTTTCCTTGCACAGTTTCTGCCTTTTTTGGGAGTCTTTGTGAGCATGTGTTTCTATGGGGTTGTTGATTGAGCATCGAATGGCATGGTTTTAGGAGAATGAGCATTGTAAATGCTAATACCACTCCTAAAAACCATGTCATTTGGATGATAACTAACCTTGTAGAAAAACCTCTCATACTTGTGGGAAGCTGGCTGCCTTTCTTCCAGTTTTTTCATCTTTGTTTGGGAAGGGTGAATGTGCAGTTGACATGTATTCAGGAGATTGAACATCCAAGATGTTGATACCACTCCCAAGAGACATATTAGCTGATTCATCATGGAGGATGCCTGAAGACCTTTTTCCTGATAACCTACAACAATTCTTTGCTGGAGTTCCAGGAGAATGAGCAGAAGGGCTAATACCACACTCTGAAACTCTAGCAAAGGGGTAGGTAGTTTATAGGAGAGAACAACCTGCAAACTAACAAGAAAGGTTAGTGAAAAGAACTTGACTGTGTTGCTCCTATAGAGGAAGGAGTTGTTGTTGTTTGTGATGTCCTGCATGGAATCTTGGAATGATATAGGGGGCCCAGAGACAATGAAACATCAGCCATAACCATGAGATGAAGTGGAAGAACATGCGTGTTGAGAAGGAACCATAATCTTTCTGGTTCTCTTATGTCTGAAGGTAGGAGTACCTAGGAAGTCCTATTGAATCTGTCCTTTGATGAGCGTAGGTAATGCAGAGACATTGTTATACTCAGTCATAATACTGAGATCATGACTGAGTTTTGACAGTGAATCTGCAGGGTAGTTGGCTTCTATATAAGTATGTGAACAGATGAAGCTTTCACATAGGTTGCAGAGATCAAGGAGCTGTTGTAACTTCATCTTGATAGACCATGGGAAATTTCTACCTTTGGTTAGCCATTGAATTAGGAGAGCTGAATCAGATTCTAAGTGGATCCTTGTGAGCCCGTTATTCAAGCACCATTGGATTCCTAAAAAAGCAGCTTCAGATTCTGCAAAGTTGTTGGTCCCTTCCCTTAGGGGGGCTGCCATTGCATGAATGAACCCAGAGTTGTGATCTCTAATGATCACTCCTGCTCCTATTTTGTCTTGGTTTGTGAGAGCACTCCCATCACTATTAATTTTGACATAGCCCTGGCTTGGTTTTTCCCATACTACTTGAGCAGAGAAAGTTTTGATGTTTTAATTTCTCAATGAATGGGTACAGCTCCTGCCAATTGAGAGGCCATTTGATTTCAGGAAAATTGGCCCTCAGCAGCACGTTGATGTCAGAGTTAATGGAGAACAAGACTCTTGTTAAGGAAGTTGACTTTGCTCCATACTTTGCACTACACTTATTCTTCCATAAGTTCCAGCATACTATGATAGGAAGGGAGTGAAGGATGAGTTTCTGAACTTCATTATTGCTGTGTAAGAACCACCACTTCATTAGAAGGATTTTGAAAGGCAGGTCTTCAGTATGGAATCCAACTGGTCCTCCAAACCTCTTCTACACAATTCTGGCGAAATTACCCCTGCTGAAAATTTGATCAACTGTTTCATTTGTGTGAAAGGAGCAGCACACACATCCGATCATAGTAGGGCTTCTGAAGAGAAGCACCCTATCATCAGTAGGGAGTTTGTTCTCGAGAGCTCTACAAAGGCAAAAGGACTACTTGCATGGGATTTTCTTATGCCATGTCATCTTGTTGGAGAGGTTAGGTTGTTTCTTGATCCTGATTAGCTCCCAAGCAGTTGCACAAGTAAATCTACCATCAGAAGAAGGGGTCCAGATGGCTGTATCTTGGATGTTACTATTGAAAAAAATGGGAGTTTGCATGATTAGGTGGACCATGTTGGCAGGAGTAGAAGCATTGAGCTTCTGAAAGTTCCACTGACCTGAATCCCAGAAATGGGAAGTAGTGATATTCCCTGGCCTGCCTCCCTCCTGTCTATGATATGCTAAAGGCCCAACTCCAACCCAGTTGTCCCACCAGAAGCTGCAGTTCCCATAGTGAAGTCTCCATTGTATAGTCTTCTCACCTTCACTTTTGTTGGTCATTAGTCTTTTCCAAGCTAAAGGCTGACCCGTGTCCCATTTCTTAGAGATGGGGTTAGATCTCTGGCAATATTTGGCTTTTAGGAAGCTACTCCAAAGGGACTGGGTAGTTCTGAAATGCCACCATTGCTTGTATTTCATAGATTTGCAGATATCTTCAATTCCTGAAGCCTAGGCCTCCTTCATTTACTGGGTAGCAATGTTTGTGCCAAGAGGCCCAATGATACTTTCTTTTGTTATTTTCCATTCCCCAAAATAAATTTGCAGCTAGTTTTTCGATTTGTTTCATTACAATCTTGGGAGGAGAAACAACTGCCAGCAGGTGGATAGGCATTGACTGCAGGACATGTTTGATGAGGGTGGCTCTACCTCCATGAGACAACATTTTTCCATGCCAACCTCTAATTCTGCTAACAATCTTAGAGACAAGAGTGTTGAAGTGTATGATTCTCATCCTGCCAATGTACAAAGGGCAACCTAAGTATGTGAGGAGAGATGACTTCTTGTTGAAGCCAGTGACAGATTGAATTCTTCTAACAGCAGAGGGGAAAGCACAGGGGGATGTCATGAAGTGGCTCTTGTGTCTATTGATCTGTTGGCTAGATGTGCTTTCATAATTATTCAGGGTCCACATGATTTTCTGAAGAGAGGACCATTTCTAAGAGGTGAAGACTATGATATCATCTGCAAAACTCAAATGATTGACCTGAGGTCCCCTTCTTTCCATATAAAAGCCATTGAATAATTGGTCATGATTGTGGATATTGAGCATTCTGGATAGAAGCTCAGCACCTATAATGAATAGGGCAGGAGCAAGGGGGTCTCCTTGTTTTAGGCCCCTGGTTGAATGGAAGAATCCCCATCTGGAGCCATTTACGATTACTGAGTACCAATTATTGGACATGGTTCTCCAGATCATGTCAATGATCCTTTCACCAAACCCCATCCTCCTTAGCATTAGGCATGTAAAACTCCAGGAGACCCTGTCATAGGCTTTGGCCATGTCTAGTTTGATGACAACATTTGATCCTTCATTAGGCTTCTTAATACCATGGACAATTTCTTGAGCAAGCATGATATTCTCATAGATATTCCTTCCTTTAACAAATCCAGACTGGTTGGCAGAGATAATTCTGGGGAGGATGGGGCCAAGTCTGGTGCAGATGATTTTGGATATGATCTTATTATTGAAGTTGCTGAGACTGATGGGTCTAAATTCAGTCAGAGAGTTAGGAAATTCCACCTTTGGCAAGAGAACCAAGCAAGCACTAGTCATGTATTTAGGCATTGAGCAACCACCAAAGAAGTCTAGCACAACATTCAGGAGGTCATGCTTGATGATGTCCCAGCAAGATTGGTAAAATTTGCCATTAAAGCCATCTGGTCCAGCAGCACTGGTGGGGTTCATGGAGAAGACAATTTCTTTGAGTTCTGATAAAGCAGGATCTGCAGGCAGAGTATCATTATCCTCATGAGTGATCATTGAAGGAATACATGACAAAAGATCTTCTCTGATTGGTCTTCCAGGATCAGTAAAGAGGTCTTGGTAGAAGTCACAGGCTGCATTACCAATAGCCTCATCACCCTGAATCCATTGCCCATCTTCATCTTTGATTTTGTGGATGTATAACTTTCTTCTTCTGCCTCTGATGAGGCTGTGAAAGTATTTGGTATTTGCATCTCCATCTTTGAACCATTGAAGGTGAGTTTTTTGTTTAAGAAAGTTCTCCTCTAACTTCATGTATCTTATGTATTGGGCTTTAAGATCATGAAGGCTTGCCCTGTCAGTTTCATAATTGGTCTGAGCCCAAACCATCTCTGCTACCTTTACCTTTTCTTCATATTCTTTTGCCTTTTGGAAGATGTCACCATATTCTTGCCTTGACCACTGACTTAAACAAGCTGAGAGGGATTTCAATTTTTGATGGAAGATCCACATAGGACTACCAGTAACATGATCATCCCAGATTCCTTGAACAAGTGGCTTGAAATTAGGATTATCAACCCATAGGTTTAGGAACTTAAAGTACTTGATGTTATTTTCTTGCCTAACTCTAATTTGCATGAGAATGGGAGTGTGATCTGAGCCTGCTGATGCTATGTGAGATATTGTAGTAACAAGAAAAGCAGCTAACCATTGGTCATTGGCAAGCCCTCTATCCAATCTTTTCCAAACAATGGAGCATTGACCTCTACCATTGGACCAGGTATATTTGGGACCATAGAATCCCAAATCCACCAAACACAATCTTCTACCATGCATAGGAAATCCAGACTTTTGTTCATTTGGTATGGGATGCCTCCTATCTTTTCTTCAACTGAGGCAATAACATTGAAATCACCAATCACACACCATGGAGAATCATAAGTGGCTGATTTGTGTCTCAACACTTCCCACAAGGGTCTTCTCAGAATTGGCTTGCATTTGGCATAGACTACAGTGAGGAAGAAAAGGGTGTCACATTCCACATGTCTCATCTCAAGGTTTAACTATTGTTCATCATGATCAGTGACTGAAGCATTGAACTCTTTATCCCAGAAGACCCAGATCTTGTCATTGACATTGGTAGCAGCTTGGTGCATGGAGAGTTGGAGTTTGAAAAAGTTGATATGAGAGGTATCAAGGAATGGTTCTAGGACTGCAATGAAGGAAAATTTATGGATGTGATTCAGAATTCTGAGCCTTTCAATAGCTCCAGAGGTTGTGATGCCTCTTACATTCCAAATGATTGTACTAATCATTGGAATGAGGGGTTAAGGTTGTGTTTTGGTCGGACACTGCTGCTTCTGGTTCTAGCAGCTCTACATCTGGTTAATCTTGGAGAAGGGCTTTTTCTAGATGACAGAGATGCAGAAGCATTTGGCTCATCATTTACTGCAGCTATCAGAAGCTCACAATGTTTTTCCTTTTCAAGATCTTCATCACTAGAGTCCCTGTCAACTTCTTGATTCCCATCAATTTCATCCTCAGATTCGATTGGTCTATACTCATCCTGCTGAGGAATATATCTGTTGAGAGGACATTCTTCCAGTACCATATCTAGAGGATGTGGGAGACAATTTTTTTTGGGGGGTGCTGGTATGGGCAGAATTGGACTTTGGGTGTTTTGGATTATTGGGGACCAGCTCAGATTCATTTCCATCTGAGTGTAACTTTTTATTGGGAAGCAGAGTTTGAGAAAGGGAGGGGTTAATAATGACATGATTCCTGAAAGAAGGGAACTCCTTTGTTGGTGTTTGGTGTTGTCTGAACTTTTGTTGGATTTTTGGGTTTAAGAGCTGGGAAGGATCAGATGGCTCATTTATACAGATTCCTGAATTTTGTTTCCTTATTGCTTGTCTTTTCTTTTGGCTGGGTTTATTTCTTTGTTTAGGGGGTTGTATGTTGAAATCTGGAACTTTAGCTTTACCTTTCATAACCCTCCTAAGATGATCATCATCCTTGGCTAGGTCTTCATCATCAGAAGGTTCCCTAGAGAACTGAGGTTCCTTGTTGATAGTGGTTGCAGGGGTTTGACAGTACAACCTAGGTTCAACCATATGTGCTCTTGCACACTCATGCAAAACATGAGGAACACCCACCCCTGTAGGTACCCCATCCTGTATAACACTAGGTTTCTCCTGACAGACCTCCCTACCTCCTTTAACTTCTTTAGCAGAATTCTGAGCACCAGAATCTTTATCTGCTGCATCAGCAGATACAAGGAGAGCACCAAGAATCATACCTGATTGCTGATTGATGAGTTCAACTGATGCAAGGGCTGGATCAGCCTTTGCAGAGGGGACTGATTGGTTTGGTTGCTGCTTAGGTATGTAAGCCTGCTGCTGTTTCTTGTTTTGAGAATTTCCTTTGAAATTTTTCCTCTTTGAGTTTGCCATTCATCTTTTGGTGGAACATTGTCTTCATTTTGAACTTGACTTTCCTTGTGGTGATATGTTGTTTTTGATTTATCTGTTTGGTCTTGTACCCCTTTGTTTGCTTTTTCCTGTGGTCTGTTGTTGTGGTGCTGTTGACTTGCTTCAGCTTTTTCTATGTGCTTCTGTGGAATCTTTGCCTGTGATGGTGTTGTTGAGCTGCATCTTCCTCTTTTCTTTTCTGACTCTCCCTTTCCTTGAGGTTAACTGGGCATGCCTGGGTATAGTGACCAAGGTGTCTGCAGTGAGAACAGTAGGAGGTGAGGTTGTCATATTGAACTTCAAGCCATTGGCCATCACCATTGACATCCTGGTCCTCATCATAGCCAAGCCAGACATGAGTTGGTCTCTCCTTTGTGAGGTCAATTTGCATTTTTATCTTCACTACACTACCTCTTGTCTTTTGAAAAGAGGCCAAATCCAGGAATAGAGCTTTGCCAATTGGAGACAGCAATGGAGTGGGAATGTCCATGTAATACAAGTGCCATGGTAATTCAGGGATCATCATCTAAATTGGAACAACAGGGGAATCTTCATTAGGCTTGAAAATGGGATTCCAGGCTTCTATCCTCATTAGTTGGCCCTGAATGTACATGTTTTGTTTGGACCAGACAGTAGAGGGATCATACTCATTGTCAATGTCAATGTACATTGTTCTTGCATTAAAATGAGCTATATTGACCACACCCCTTAGTTCAGTTTGTGCAATAAAACTTTTTCTGATGACTTCCATCCTTGGCGTGGTGTATTGGAATATAGCTACCACTGTAAATTTGTATCTGTCAGCAAACTTGACCATGTAATCCTCTTTCTTAAAGATCACAGCAGGTTTCCCTTGCTTGGTGGTAATGACAGGGGTTGTGAACTGAATTGGTGACATCTCTGCTTCATGTCTGGCCCTTAATCTTGTCACAAATGATTGTTTGACTGTTGATGGTGGAGGCTGGGACAGGGTGTTTGGTGTTTTGGGTTTATTGGAAGTATTGGTGGTTTGGGAGTTAGTGTTGGTAGGAGCAGGAAGTTGTGGAGTGACTTGTGCAGAGGCAGGGGTGTCTGCATTTTTTGCTTGTGGCCTAGGGTTGTTTTTGGGGTATTTTGGCTTGTCAAAATTGGAGAAAACTTTTATGGAGTTGTGAGGGGGGTTGGTGGGATGTGCCTGATGTTGCTGAGGGTGAGCAATAGAACCTGGGGGGTTTTCATTGGCAGCAGGGGTCCCTTTTACTTTGCTTTGAATCAGAGAAGCAGTAGGTGCATATATGGTTGTCAAATGAGGGTCTGTGGGCTGGGACCTAGTGTGATCACTTTCCTTTTGGGGAGCTTCTTGGATTGAAACATGACAGTTAACATCCATAGGATTAGATTGAGGAGCATCATTGGATGTTTGGTCAATTGGGGTGACATAAATGAGAGGAGCATTTGGTGGAACACCCGTGGAAGCTAAATCTACTAAATTACCATTTTTAACATTCGACAAGATTGGCTTGATTAGAATCTGGTTAGATGATTTGGAATCTATCCCCTGAATATTTGGGATCGTTTGGCATTGGTCTTGGGCCATTTGGTTCAGCATAACCCCATGGCCGACCAATTGAGGAACTTCTGAGTTTCTCTTTTGAAATTTTTGATCAGTTCCTATATTAGATTGGAAGGAAACTTTGCTTACCTGCTCCTTAGGAAGTGTAGGGGCCTTTGAATTAGGTTGGAGCATTCCAATTGGCCCAGAGGGAAGGGTGACATATTGTCGAGCACCTGGTGGAATTGAGTTGACTAGGTGGAGAGATCGTAAAATTGAAATTGTGGATTAGTACCCATATAAAATTGATGGTTCAATGTTGTTACTCTCTTCCTTGCGCGTCTTTTGGTACCAATCATTCTCAATTTGACCGATTGGAGTTCCATTTCCGGCCACCTATGAGCTGCCTTCATTCTTTAGTAGATCATTTGGAGTGATTCCCACGGTGGAAGCTGTTGATTTTTGGAGAAGAGTTGCATCTGGTGATGGAGAAGAGTCTCCACGGTTTGAAATTGTTAAGTTTGGCCCAGAATTGAGCTGGGAATTTTCAGAAGCACCCAGGAGATTATTTCCTACAGAAAACACGTTGCCATTTTTGAAATTCGTAGCAGCTGGGTTGGAGTTTTGGAGTGAAGTTTTTTGGACAGTGTTCGCCTTTGATTGGCGCAACTTTGGCGTTGGTCCGGTGGCTTTCCACCGGTGGACGGAGGAGCAGTGGCTATATTGCCACTGCGCGTGAACTGTAGCTGTGAGTCTACTGTACGGAGAGCGTTTTAAAATTTTTTTGGAGAAAAGTAGTTTGGTCTTTAGGTTTATGAGTGAGAGGGTGGCATTTGAAAGGATTTTCGGGGAAATTTTTGTGGTCATTTGATAAGTTGGTATTTTACCAACTTATCTTGTCTTTAAACCTATACTTTTGCTATGTTTGAGTGATAAAATCATGTGTTTTAATGTCGTTTACTTCTATTTCACAGGGTGTGTGTGATTTAGAAGTAATGGTGAAGAAACCAAGTGAAAACAAGTCAAAAAGAAGCTAAAAAGAGGAAAAATCTAGGCAATGCACTCAGTGGTTGCAATTGCGACCAGAACTTGGGAAATGCGAAGATTCAGGCTTGGGAATTGCGAGCAGATTCATGGGAATTGCGAAGTAATACAAAACAGGCAGTCTTCGCAAATGCGAAGACGACTTCGCATATGCGAAGTCAACTGGAAATGTCAACCTTCGCAAATGCGAAGGTTTTGTCGCAAATGCGAAGTGAAGCAGCACAGGCAGAGCTGGTAATTGCGAACTATTGTTCGCAAATGCGAGGATAAATTCTCAGGCCTGGGCAAATCTGGAATTTCACATTTTTTATCCCCAAACCATTTTTATACACGACCAAACATATCTTTCGCATATCTTTGGCTTATTTTCAGTTCTTAGGGCAAGAGAGAACAAGTTTTGGAAGCTAGGGCTTTGCACACACACTTTGGTCTTGAAGATTGAAGCTTTTGGTTGAGAATTTCTTACCCATTTATGTTGCTTTCTTCATTTCCTTGCTTTGTATTGTATATCTAAGTGTGTAGTATTTTATTCAACACTAAAATATTGTTTATGGAAATATTTATGTTTAAAGTGTGGATTAAATACCTTGTTGTGCTTATGTATTGAATGATTTTTATTTATTTATGAAGTGAGTTATTGTTATTTTAATTATTCTAGTTCTTTATTGTTTCCAAAGGGATTAGCTAACCCTAGGACTCGCCTATTAACTCCGAATTAATTTTGAAAAAGTTAATTTGGGGTTGGGAAAGATTAATTAACAAGAACTTGAGGCGTTAACCCTCATTTTATAGATTCTACCTAGGGATAGGATTGAACTACTTGTAGCCATTCTGGGTTTGCTTAATCTTCTAATTGTTTCTGGGATAATTCAATTAGGAAGTCTTGTTAGTCTTCGGAAGAAGCTAATTAAGAATTATTATCCGTGGCTAATTAACATAAACTCGCTCATATTTGTAAAATCATGAAATACATTGGATCGTTACTTGAGTGTAATTCCCAATGCAACCATACTTGTAGTCATTGATCATTTTACTTGCTTTCTAGGTTAGTTTACATTTCCGCATTTAGATATAAACATTTTCAAAACCAAATTCTTAGTGTTTGGCACTACGCGATAAGCGATAATTTTCTTACATTCCTAATCGCCTACACATTGTTCTCTGTGGGATTCGACCCTGACTCATAGTAGGGTAGATTATATTGCATGCGACCGTGTCTATTACTTTATAGTAGTGGATTTGGACGTCATCAAAATTGGCGCCGTTGTCGGGGAACAATTTGGCGTAATTTAGGTTGTTTGAGAAATAAGCGAAAGTGCTTTGGTCCAAACTTGTAAATATTTGTGTAATTAAATTTTCTTACCTTGGTCTATATTTCTTGTTTGTTTCTTGTTTATTTTCATATTTTTGAAAAATGGCATCATATAATGAAAATTGGTCGGATGGTAGTTGTTCATACTTTGATGACCCTTGTCCTTATTATGGAGGACCACACTCGTGGCAAAATTATTTAAATTCTCCCGGGGGTGGATTGTGCGCACAATCTCAACCCTATGAGTGGAGTATTTGTGATAAGTGTGGTTTTCAAAATGGTCATTGGGATGATTGTGCTTATTGGTCCTTCCCTTCCCCAAGCCCCCGCTATGATGATTCTACTTTTTGTGATGAAAGTTATAGGGCTATGGAAGTTGAAGAAGTTGAGCATGGCCAAAGTGGAGAGTTCAAGCTTATGTTGGAGTGTTTACTTGACAAAGGAAACAAGGAGCAAAATGCCTTGGAGGAGCTTTTGGAGAATAGTCTCCAAAATGACTTGGCACTTGAAAGGTTGCACTCACAAATGGATGAGATGATCGAAGCCTTAAGGATTCAAAGAGCCTCGCAAGTGAATGATAGCCAAGAACCTTCCTTGGAGATTGAAGTTGAAAATCCTTCTTTGGCACTTGATCAAAACCAAGAAGAACTCTCAAATGCTCACAATGAGAAAGTAATGCTCATGTCGGAGACCATTCTTGAAAATGAGGAGAAGCACAACTTTGCACTCGAGGACTTGAAACAAAGCTTGGCTCACAATGATGAACATATTCGCACTTTGGAGGATCAAATGCAAATATTCGTTGAGGCTCACTATGCCCACCAACTTGAGAGTGTGGAAGAAAGCGAAGAAGAGTCCAATTCCGAGGAAGAAAGTGAGCTTTACTATGAGGATTCAAGAATTGAACATCCGCCAACCGACCCTATGAGTATTAATAATGCCAAGAAAAATAAAGAATTAGAGTCAACCGGTGTAAATGCAAATGTGGTTGATATTGACTCTAATCTGGGGGAAAAAGAGGATGTCAAAATCCAAGAAAAATTGCAAAGTGAAGGTTTGAAGTCACATTCCAAGCATTTTTCAACGTTGGAATTGTGTGGTGATATGGAAATTGAACTACAAGAGCCAACGAGGGATTGCAAGGAGGAAAGACAACAACCATACATTTTACAGTTTGAAGAAACAAGAGAACAAAATGACATTCCTCACATGCGAGCCAAGAAGTGCAAAATGAAGAATTTAAAGATTGGCTTGATTATCAACTTACCATCCCCCATCGCTCGTGGTCACAAGCTTGACTCCAAGCTAGGTGCCCAGTTCATATCATCCAAGTGGCGAGAAAAGTGGTAAAGTTGCTTGCGTCGTGGCACGACGTTAAATGCGGCACTTGGTGTGAGGCAACCCATCGTTCATCAAAATTTTTAGTCAATTTTGAAATTTTACTTTTTTGAATAGCTTAGTATATTATTTGTAACTAATCTGCAAAGTTTGAGAATTGTTGGAGTTTATTTGAGCAGATCAGAGTGACTCGGAGAGGCCAAACCAGTAGCTGTCGGAAAATGCAGGGGCAGGCTTCGCATTTGCGAAATATTGTTCGCATTTGCGAACTTTCCCATCGAAATTCCCAGCTTTTGTTCGCAATAGCGAACCATGCAGAAAAGAGTGACCTTCGCAATTGCGAAGGTTCTGTCGCAATTGCGACTTCTGAGAGTCAAAACCAGTCAGTCATTCATTTTTGAACCCAAACTGAACAAAACATTTGGTAAGGCTCTCAAACTCATCTTCCTCACTATCACCACTGTAAACCCCTTCAACTCTCACTCCTCATTACAAAGAATCAGGTATGAAAGCTTAATCATTACTCCTTCATCTTCTTCGTCCTCACTTTCTCTTTTATTTTTCTTGATTTTCTGCAACCCTAGAATCCAAATGGGTCCATTCTTTGCTCGAAATTGTTTCAAAATTTTTCAAAACATATGTTAATTTCTGGGTGAGGTTTGGTTGAGATTGTGCGATTTTCTTTGTTGCAAAAAAAATTGGGGAAGTCTGAGTACCCAAAACTTGTCTAATGGAAGTGAAGTTTGTGTGCGTTTCTTATGTTCGATGAAAGGCCCGAATGAAATTCTTGGCCAAACCATCAACATTTTCTGATTCATGGTCGTTTATGAAGTTTAATGCATGATTTATGCTCGAATAATGATTGGGTTCGTTAAAAAATACTTGGATTGAAAAATTTTGGGGCGTGGTACTGTTGCTTGTAGAAAAGCTTGACTGGGGACGAAGGCTCGCAATTGCGATGGCCTCTTCGCATTTGCGAAAAACCCATCGCAATTGCCAAGAAATGACCTTTCCTCAGACCTTCGCATTTCCCAAATATTGTTCGCAATTCCCAAAACTGGGAAGTTCTGAGAGTTTCGCAATTGCGAGATATTTCTTCGCAATTCCCTGCTCTGCTAAATTCGCAATTGCGAAGTTTCTTTAGGAAATGCGATATCAGAGACCAGGCATCTTCCAATTTCAAAATCCTGAAATTTTTTCTAAATCTGAGATTCGACAGCCCGATCATTCTTTTGGCATATTTGCTTCATTTTGCACTATTCTTCATAGCCATACCATGTTTTCACTCTTATCACTTGTTGACAGGTACTATAATTGAAAAATGGACGCGAACTCTGAAGGATCGTCAAGTGACAACTCCGTGGAAGCTGAACAAAACTTTGACCAAGACTGTTTCTTGTCATTGGAGTGTCAAGAACGGTACTTTGAAAACCTGATCTCGAAGAAGGTGCTCCCGGAAAGCGGTATAGTGATGGACGATGTCTAGGAACGTCTTCCCGAGTTCTATCAAAGGCTAATGGACATGGGATGGAACAGTTTTGCCCCTCAACCTTGCCGAGCAAATGAGCAATGGATGATGGAGTTTTACGCCAACCTCCCAGCCATCAAGTTAAAAAATCCCAAGATGAGAATTTGGGGCAAAATGGTGCACTTTGGGGCAGAAGCTGTGAATGACTTCTATCATTTGCCAAACCACGACATGACCCCATTCAAGCAAAAAGACTGTGCGTTAGGGGAGTGGTTGGTGTCCAAATTATTCCCGGGTGCAGATGTTCCATGGGCAGCTGAGAAGAAGGGGATCACATCAAAAGAATTCACTGCCGAAGCGAAGATATGGCTGGCCATCATATGCAGCC